CAAAAGGAAAAATAACACCTGCATCAGTCCAAGATAGATAATCACAATCTTGAAGTTTTGAACACTCTCCAGCCAGAGGTATAAGCTAAAAACTCACCTTTGGGCCTGGCCATCCGCCACACCACCTACCGTGACCCCTGTTGCTGTCATATGTCATAGAAAGCACAAACAAGCATCCAGCCACACGTCAGCCTCACAGATTGCTAATCGCCCTGGGCAAGATCCCCGTGTCATAAACAACGAAGCCATCAGCTTGCATTCTGCATTGCCCAACCCATACACCCCTTTTGGACTGTTACTCAATTGCCACAAGAATTTGAGAACTCTCCTACTATTTTGGGGGAGGCCCTAGCAACAGATTTGGCACATGGACAGCTAGTTTCTCTGTCCTTTCAGCTCTGTCATGGTCCCTGAAGAGAGAGAGAGAGAAAAAAAAATGAGGCTTCTAAACTGTAAAATGTCCATAGGCTGTCAAATGCTAAAATATACGGCTGCTCCTCATAAAGCCAGTTAAAGATCCCTGAGCTGCCAATGCTACTGCATTGCCCTCTGTATACATTGCCTCAGTCTTACGCCACACACAGCCTGCTGGTACACCTGCCTGGACCTAACTAATGCCTTCCTCTGACTTTGATTGGCTCTTGTCAGCCAATCCCTCTTCGCTTTTAAATAGAAAGACCGCAGTTCTGGACTCAGAGGTTAACTGACATGGACTCAACCTCCCAGAGATTCATAAACTTGTTGGCCCTCTTTGGAGAGACCCTCACAGCTGACCTCAGTAGTTTCCCTGCACAAAATATCACTGCACTTCTGAGTAATGGCACCCAAGCTACCTGACAGGAAGACACAAAAAACTCTGCTACAGTGTCTGGTAGAAAATGGTTGCAGTAACGAAACTCCACAAGTTTCTTGTAGGTGCTTGGTCTCTATGGAATCTGGATCCTTGAGTTTGCAAAAACAATGAGGCTTACTCAAACTGTCAGTCCCGGGAGGCTACCTGTGCAAATACTTGGATCCAGTCACAAGGGACTGCCTGCCCCTTCTGTCTTTGTGCTCTAACAGCCTTTGTGCTGTAATAGAAGGCTGACAAGCTCACCAGGTGCCACATTCTGTACTAGACCTCCTGAGTAACTGGACCACTCAGTCCTGCCACATATCTGCCCACCAACCTGGGCCCACCAGACCATAACCTAAAAACGGACCCCCTGACACAAGCCGAGTACACCTTGTTTATGGATGGAAGTAGCTCTGTTAAGACAGGCTAGGTATGCTGTGGTCACCTTGGACAAAGTGATTTTAGCCAAAGCTTTCCTGCTATTGCTTCCTGCTGCTGTTTGGAGATCTGCCACCAATGATGCCAAAAGTGTACCCTTAAGCCCCCTCTAGGGATCCATTGGACTGAAGCATCAAACCTAGCCACAAAAACTTTACCTAGTACTCTTGGAAGATCAGAGCCAGACCTGCCCCCACTGTTTGTGCTGCAAGCTCAAGATGCAGCACTGGCACCCGGACCCCTGCAGCCAGTTCAGCCATCTATGTCACTGGTCCCAACCTCAGGTAGTGTAGTGGATACTCCTGATTTAAAGACACATAAATAGGTTACACAGAAATAAAACATCACCGTACAGAAACAGTTTGTGATCAGTTAAAAGATCAGCTATCCCTGAAGGCACTCCTTTATACACACATAACCCAGGTGCAGATTAACTACCTCTACAAGTTTTAGAAATCCAGCTTTAGGTCCACCATTACAAAATTAGTTAGAAGAGCCCATCCAGATGGTTGCTAAAAAATTTACCTGGACAGCTCCTCCAGGGCTCACTCTGAAGAAATGACACACCCAAAGCCCTGCTCTGGTCACTCTGGACCCTGACCAGTCCAATGCATGGCTGAAGCCTGAGGACACTGTTCACAAGATTGCTTCATACCCATTGCCCTTGGTTTTTATGTCTTTTCAGGCTGCTTATTCCAGTCCTTGTTTCCCTGTCCCCACGATAGCTGTGGTTTTTGCCTTAAGCTCTATAGACAGTTGCCCCAAGAGAACAGAACAATCAAACACTTAACCAAGCTATGATGAGCATCCAAAGCACACTGGACACCCTCCCAGAGCAGATTAACTCCTTTACTACCTTACCAGAGTAATGATACAGAACAGAAGGCCTAAATTATGTCTCTTCCTAAAAGCAACTCAAGGAAAAAACTCTGTAATAAAACAATCCTGGGGACCTTTTCTAGGACCCATCTCAGGATAACTGACAATGCTGGTGTTACTGCTCCTAGTTAGGCCTTATCTCAGAAGATCACATGTAGCACCCCCAGTAACAACTTGCAAGGGAAACTAAAACAGGATAAAATGCAGCAGAAAATGCTCCCCCCTCCAACATATTTCAGTTTGTTAGTTGCCCAAGAAAAAGTTCCAGTTCCAAGTTCCTCTTACTTTTGTTTCTTAGAAATGACTGGTTACTGTGATACATAGTTGGTCACTACGATACACACTGTATAAACCAATCTCCAATTGGCAAGCCATTCTGCCTCTGAACTTCCTGCTTGCGTATCCCATATAAGCCCTAGATGACCAGAGATCAAAGCCTGATATTTTGGAGATAATCCCGATCAGTAGCCATTGATATAAATAAATCTGCCTCCAAACCCTGAGTGTTGTTTTGGTGTTTCTGTTTGCTGTTCCAGTCACTGCTATGATTTGAACATCCCTTCCAAAACTAACTTTGAAATTTAATTATCATCATGGTCGTATTAAGAGGTGGAACCCTGAAGACGTGACCAAGTACAAGGCAAAGTGCTCATGAGTGGGTTAAGGCTGCTATTTATTGTGTGTGGCTGGTTGGACAGGGGTGAGGGGATTGTGTAGGGTGTGGGGCTGTCTGGTCCCCTTTTCCTCCTTGCTCTTGTTTGCAATCTGTTCATGTGATGACAGAAGAAGGCCCTCACCAGATGCAGACCCTGATCTTGGGCTTCTCAGCTTTAAAAAATCACAATCAAATGAAACTCTGGTTTCTTTTGTTTTAAATGTATTTGGTACAGGGTCTCACTACGCAGCTTGGACTTGTAGTGATCCTCCTGTTTTTAGCCTCCCTAGTGCTGGTATTACAGGTGTGTGCCACCATGTCCCGTCTTGGTGACTGGCTCAGCATGCCTGGGCATAGGGCTGATGTGGCATGTTGTGCTGGGGATCGAACCCCAGTCCCTGTGCTTGCTAAAGCAAGTGCTTAGTTTGCTGAGCTACCTCACTGGCACTTGTTGTTTATAATTTACCCAGCCCATGGTTTTCTGTGGTAGCAACAGGAAATAGAACAAAGCAGTCATATTTTTACAGGGCTATCCAGTTCCTACTCTCTGGTTCTCTGTGCCATGTGCATTAAAACCCAAGCCTCCAGATCAGAGACTTTAGCACCCTCAACTCCTGCCAGGGCCCTTCAGGCTTTCCATAAAACTTCTCAGGCTATCTTATCCACATTCTGGGAATGGCTGCCTTGTATCTTGCGTAGGTGATGGGCTAACACGTTAGCGAAGTTATCGGTCTTCTCTGCAGAGTTTGTCTTGAGAGAAGTACTTAGAAAGGCTTGGCACGTACCAAGACTAGTAGCCATGCTTATGTTTGTAGCTTTGTTTCTTTATATTTAAGTCATCTAGAATATAGTAAATCCAAGAAAATTAAAACTTTACATATTGGCAGTAAAGCTACCCAAACAGAGTAAAATATAGGTATAATCCAACTCTACCAATAACATTTTATCAAAACTAAGACCCAAGCTATTCACCCACAACTTGGTGGCCCAGTGCTCTTTACCATGCCTGACTGCTGCTCAGACCAGCCCAATGTACACACTCCAATAAATGCAAACCCCACATAACCAGCTTCAAAGACCACCCAGCACTCTGCAGTGCCCCAAGAATCCTGCAGCCCAGGATGCACCTGCCTCTTCAGTTCACGTAGAAGAGAAGGAAAGCCATGAGCTACTAGTGAAAAAAATATGAATATGCCCTGTAAAGAACTACCCAGAGCCCTGGGTTTGGAGAGTAATAGATGGAGAAAGCCTCACAACCCATAGCCTGGGAAACCCACCTGCCTCTGGGGGCCACCTGAGACAGCTTACACTGAATGGCCAGGGGCCTCCCTGCCAACCTTAGTAGTGATCTCAGGAGCTCCGTCCCCTGACCTGAGGGCTCAGTCCTGCCCTAGAGTTCCCTGGAGAGGAGCTGGCACAGCATTTACCAGGATGGAGACAATACGGCTAATGCTCAGGAGTCAGGAGCCAGTGGCTACCGACCCATTCTGCCCCATGAAGTCACTTCTCCTGACTTTGGGCCTCAGTTTCCCTATCTGTATAGTAAGAAGACTTGATGTGGTCTCAAGAAAAAAAAATCAGAATTAGAACTCAAACATTTTGACTTTCAGAGTCGGCATCTTTAATAACAATAAAAATATCAAATAATAACAATACCACAGCTATTATTTATTTTGAGTGATTTTTTAATCAAACTCTAAGCCAAGAACTTTACGCATTATCTTACTTAATCCTCATTAGCTTCCTATGAAGATGATTTTGTCACACTAATTTTATATTTAAGTTCAACAAATACTGATTGTGCCAATTGTAGAGACTAAGTAATTTACTTGAGGTCTTATAATAAGAACTGGCTCAGAGTTCAAATCTGGCTGTGCCTGATTTACATCTACCATCCATCCATCCATCCTTCTCCCACTCTTTATCCAACCATTCATCCATCTTTCCCCCCATCCAACCACATGAATGCTCATCTCTGCAATCTGGGCCATCCAAGAACTGTTTCTTCCTGCAGGTACTCTTTTTCCATATGCTTACTACAAAATCCCACATTTCCACACATTTCCACTTACCTCCAACTCACTTTTGCTTTCCCAGCCTTTGGGTATCTTCATAAACCTTTACTATGCCAGCTGGCTGAGAGCCCCTCACCCCACGACACCTATCAGGGAGTCCGTAGCAGGCAACCCTTACCAAGTTTCCAACCTGCAGCATCTCCTCAAACTCAGTTGTCATGTTGTAGTGCTCCAATGCCATGAAGAGCGTGTTGAGCACAATGCACATGGTGATGGTGAGGTCAGCGAACGGGTCCATGACCACGAACTTCACTTTCTGCTTAATGGTTATCCACATTGGACAGCACTCCCAGATCAGGTAACGCTCAGCAAAGCGGTTCCAGCATGGGGGACACTTGCGGTGAGACTCCTCCAACTCTGAGGAGACACAGTGGACAGTTAACTGGGTTTTGTCCATGGAGCCATTCATATATGGTGGGACATCCGGGGAACAAACAGGGAGGCTACGTGACAGCAAGACCGTGTGCAAGCAGGGAAGGCTAAGGCAATAGCAGCCTGTCTTTTTACTTGGGCAATGTAGGAGAAGAAGTCCAGAAGGGTAGGGGATCAAAAGGAATGCTAGGAAAACTGGGAGACAAGACAGATTAGGACAAGTTTGAGCCACCAATCCCATGCAGATGTAGGGCTATTTGGTGGGGAAGAGACAATCATGAGATAGGGAAGTTCATATATGAGAAAACCCAGGGCAGAGCAGGAAGGAGCAGAAGAGGACATGTAGGATAGAGGGGGCAGGTGGGGTAGGGATGCCCAGACAGCTGTAAAACATTTGTACCCCTGAGACAAAAGGGAACAAGATGGGAGTGCCTATTTTGGGTTTCCTAAGTGGGGGACAGACTGGGATGGGAGTGGGATTCCTGGGCACAGGGCAGGGCAGGCAAGGATGCTTGGGATGTGAGGTTCCACACAGACAAGGGTATGCTAGGAAAAGGAAAGGTGTGGAAGAGCCTGGGACGGGTCTGGACAGATGTGGAGGTGTTAGGAGAAATGCTGAAGCAGGCATGCCTGGGAGAACGCGAGCTGAACCTAATGAAAAGATTCCTAGGGGCAGCTGAAGACATTTAAGGCTACCGAGGACAGAGCAGTGATGTCACTGTAGCTAAGGCACAAAGAAGATGCCCTTGTGGGCCAGAGGTGGGGTGCCTAGAGCAAATGAGGGGAGCGTGTGCCGAGCACAGGGCACTGACCTTCCAGCGCGCTGGTGAGGACGCTGACAGCGCTGAGCGCCCGCTGCCGCGCTCCTGGCTCCTCAAAGCCATCTGCACATGGAGCCTGAGGGGTCAGCATCTGGGGTCCACCTGGATCCTCTGAAGGTGTGGTCTGGGTGCAACCAGGAGATATGGGTCAGCCTGGTCCTGCTGGGCCTGGGTTGGCCAACCCAGACTCAGGTTGGGAAGGTCACAGGGGACAAGGGAGGGCTTGATGGGACACTGGATGCTGGGCTGAGAGACACTAAGCCCAGCTATCTCCCAGAGAATGACCTCCACCCTCCTGCCAATCATCACTGCCTTCGGTATTTTACCTTTGTCACCGCTCCTCACTGGCAGTGAGTCTGGTGTGCAGATGGGAAAGTACCTGCATCACACAGGCTCCTCCTGCGCAGGTGCTGCTGTATACATCAGTACATGCAAAGGTGAGCCTGGAGCCCTAACTGATCACAAGTGCCCTAGAGCCAAGGACATAAAGAAGCTGAGAAAGCATCTAACATGCTCTAAGATGACACTAATAGAAGCATAAAGCACCGTGCTTAGATGTGGCCAGTGGGAGGCCATGACTTTTATGGAGGCAGTTTGGCAATATCTACCAGGAAAAGTTTAAATTGGCCCTGTAATTTCTAGTCTAGTAATCTAACTTCATAAATAATTATACACATGCACCAAAAATATACATAAATGAGGTTCATTGCAGTACAGTTCCTAATACCATCAAAGCAACACAAGCAATCAATAGGAAAGATATTAAAATCAATTATAGATTCAACTCAACTCTGTGCTGATACAGACAATAACAAGCATGCGGTGGTCCTGCATATGCTCCTGTGGGACCATCTCAAGATAAAGGGATGAAGATTCAAGACCAAGATCTGGAAGATATACACTCAACTATTAATCTGGATCCATCCGGGGAACTGGGGGTGGGGAGAGCAAAAAGTGGAGAGAAGTCCCCTGCTCATCTATGTACTTCTACATGATGGGTTGGTTCCCAACGTGCATGTGTCATTTTTATAAATACCAGGATCACACCTGCAAGAAGAGCTGGGGCATGCGCCCGGAGGGAGCAGCAGGCGGGTACTCCCTGGACTCCAGTAGAGCACAGCCAGAGCCACGAGGGACATGGCAGTGGTGGCAGCAGACCTGTGTGATGGTGGCCTGTGTGGCTCGCAGGAGGCAGGCTGTACAGTGTACAGTGCTGAGTGCTTGAGTCTGGGCCTTGAATACCCGCAACAGCCTTGTGCTAAGGTGTGGTACCAGCGTACGTGTGGCACCATTAGAAGGCAACACGGCCTTTAGGGGGTGAGGTCTGGCTGAGGAAACAGGTCATGAGGGCAGTGCCCCGAAGGGTATCTCACCCCCCACCATCTATGGTAGGTGGGGTTGCCACTGAGCAATGCGGTTTTTCTTTCTCTCCTATTGGGGGTGGAGGACAGTTCTCTGCCTCATGACAGCAGATTTGCCAAGGGAACGGAAGTGGGCACCACATATAGATTCCTAACCTGTAGGCGCTATCTGCCTTTTCCGTGTGTTCCAGGAATGCTCTATGGAAAGAGCTTCCCGTTCAGCCTGGCCTCAGGACAAAAGCAAGTGGAGCAGCCCCAGCCTAACCCACAGTGTGGAGTAGGCCTGGCCACAGGCAGCCAGAAGTAGGGCTCCCCAGCTGAGCCCAGCCTAGATCCACCAATCTGATATCTTGTAGATAAGGAGCATAAGAGCGAAGGCTTATGGTTATCCACTGACTCCTGGGATGGTCTGTTACACAGCACTACTGTGACAAAAGCTAACTGATACAATATCCTAGTGCAAATCATCATCATCTCTTCCTGAAAACTACTGAAACAACCTCCTAACTGGCCCCTTTTCTTCTCTGTATTTGCTACATAGCAGGAAGAGATTCTCTTAAAAAGCAAATAAGATAATGTCACTCCTTGTTCAACAACTCCCTTTCCTGACTGTTCCCCAACTTACTCAAAGTACACCCCAAGTTTTCTGTACCTACAGGGTTTGCTTAGTAGAAAGCATAGCTCTCCAAACTCTGCTCCTGTTTCTCCCCTCTGTACTACTCCAGCCCTGTAGCTGGGGCTGGCCCTGCAGTCCCTGTCATCCCATCGCCCCTCTTCTCAGAACACTTATTCCTCCATGTATCTGTGGCTGGCTCCCTCAAATCACCTGCACACTTTAATGTCTTTCAGAAAGGCCCTCCCCAAATGTGCTGCCAGCTCCCATCCTCAATCCTCCCCAGCATGACCCTGCTGTGACTTGAATGTATTTCTCAGTCCACTTCCTGTCTCCATGACTCCCATGCAAACTGCACACGAGTAGGGCCAGGACTGTTCTGCTCACCGCTGGCTCTGGAGCCTCAGCTCTGCGAGGCACTTAGCAGCACTGGGTGCCGCCAGAACAGTACCAGGTAGAGGGACAAATACTCAGGTGTCTCATGCAGGTCACGGATCCAGCTCTTCCTCTAGCTTGCTAGCAACCAGGGAAAGTGAAGAGGAAGGTCTACCATGTGGGCAGAGGAGAGAATGGCTATTCAGTGTGTTCTCCCCACTCCCATCTGGCCCTCCAGGTTTAGGCGCTGTTGTAAGCTGGGGGACAAAGGACCTCTGCAGCCATTCAGCCCAAAGCAGATACTGTGCAGGTGGACTTGCGGCTCATCTAGCTCTTCCTGCCCTGTCAGGTAGACCAGATGTCCTCTGCAAGCCGACACAGACACGGGCTGCTGGGTCTGGTGGAGGCGGGAAGGCATTCCTGGGGGCCTGCAGCCTGCTAATCTCCCTGACTTTTCAAATGTCACCATCTTGGTCAATAATGCCTTTAACTTTGCAAATGACCTGGCCTTGGCCTGCTAATCCCTTTAAGGTTATGAATGGACCATACAGAAGTGAGAAGGGCTGAAGTCAGAGTTCCTGGTAATGAAGTGTTTGAACTTGCATTCCTCCTGCCATGCGCAGCACAATCAGATGATTTTCTGCCTAATGAGATTAGGAAATTCTATTAGCACTCCTGGCTGCTGACCTGCTCCCCAGCAGCAGCTCCAGAGCAGACTAGCTTGGTTCAGTGTTCCTGGAAACTAGAGAGTCACCCTGCAGGTGACAGGTCTGTTCCTCGATGAGAAAATGTCCTCCCTTCACGCCCTGCTCCAGAGGACACAAGGGCCCTGATAGCTGGCAATGCCCCAGTATCTTGAAAATCTGTCTTCAAAAACATCACCATAGCTCAGAACTGGAATATGAGGCGAGTTTCAGTGTCAGCGCTGGCCTGTCTTAACTCACCTTACTGCTGTCTACTGATGTATCACTTTCACTGCCACTTTATAGATGAGGAAACTGAGGTCCAAGGAGGTTGGGTTAATGGTACAGAGTCCCACAGCTGCAGTGAGCCCCTGGGGACACCTGAGACCATGGGCTCTGCCTGCCTGACCGAGCCTTCCCTCAGGTGCAGCTTTTCCTGGGGGCGCTGCTCTGGGGCTGGGCTAAATGTGGGGTCAGTAAGGTCATGCGACAGCTGCCTGGGCAGTCACTGGGCTTCACCAGCCTACTGAATGATCAAAGCTCTGGCTGCCTCTCACAGCCGAGGCAGGCCCATGCTATCGCCTTTCTGACACTAACTCCGACTCCTTTTCACTCACTCTGTGCCAGCTATGCTGACCACTTGGCTCAGAGGCCCAGGTAGTGCCAGCCATGGTGGCACAAGTCTATAATTCCAGCCTTCAGGAGGCTGAGGCAGAGGGATCAAGAGCTTGAGGCCAGCCTGGGCCACATGATGAGGCCCTGGCTCAAAAAATCAAACCAAGGTTCCCAAAATTCAAAGACCCAATCCAAAAATGGGCATCTGAGATGAATACACACTTCCCAGAGGAAAAAATACAAATGGCAAATAAATATGTGAAAAAATGTTCAATAACACTGGTTATTTGAGAGATGAAAATTAAACCAACACAGATTCCTTCTCCAGAAAGAATGGCTATCATAAAGAAATCAACTAATAACAAACGCTGGAGAGGCTGTGGGGGAAAAGGAGCCCTTCTCCTCAGTTGGTGGGAGTGTAAACTGTACAACCACTGTGAGAATCAGAGGGGAAGAGTCCTCAAAAAACTAGAATTAGAGGTCCCTTTCAATCCCATTCTGGGGATTTTTCCAGAAGAATTAAAAACATCTAAACACAGTGATATATGTACACCCATATTTATAGCAGCAGAATTTTTCATAGCTAAACCTTAGAAACAACCCAAATGCCCATCAACTGAGGAATGGATAAAAAAGAGATAGTCTTGGGGGCTGGTGAGATGGCTCAGTGGTCTAAAGCACCTACTTAGAACAAGCTTGGCAAAGCACATGGACCGCAGTTCAATTCCCCAGCACCACATGCCAGCCAGCCCCACCCTCTGGTGGGCTGAGTTGCCCACACACAAATAAATAAATAAATTAAATAAATTAAAAAAAAAGATGTAGACTTTTATACAATGGAGTACTACTCAGCTATAAAGAAAGACAAACTCAAGGCATTTATAGGTAAATGGATGCAACTACAGGCTATACTCATAAGTGAAGTAAATCAGATCCACGTGTAAAGATCGTATTGTCTCTCTAGTGTAAGAAACTGAAAGAGTAAATAAAATCTGAAAGGTAGATAGATAGAGTAAAGAAACCACTCAAAAGGAATGAACAATTAGGATGAGGGAAAGGAGAAAAGAAAGGAAAAAAAGAAGGGGGGAAATCATGTATTACATATACACAGGACAGCTAAGATGACTGCACTACTAATTTCTATTGGTTTTTTTGAAGGTAGCAGTTAATGCTTAGAATTTTTATTTTGACCAATTTTATGTGCTTATATCGGGTTACCTGAGCAACTGCACTGAAGACAACAATGTGCAATACAACAACCAGTGTTGAATACCTAGCATTGGTTTCTTGAGATTGTGTATCATTTCTAATGTCTTATCTATTATCTTTCTATTCTCTTTAAAAAAAATAACCAAACCAAACAGAACCAAACCGAACAGAACTGAACCAAACCAAACTAAACTAAACCAAAGGATAGGCATGCTTTTGCTTTTGCACACACTGTTCTCTATGCCTAAAATAAGCATACTAACAATGGCAGTGACAGCTGTCACTAGGCTGTTTGAACAACTCTGACACATCATGCACATCCTCAGTCCCTTACCCTGGGGAGGCCAGTCACCTTGGCATAGTCCTGAGTTGGGCATTTTCCACCCATTTCACAGATGAGAGGCTTGAGGTGCGTTATCCTCCTAGTTTCAGAAAGCAGCCTGGCTCCTATCTGCCTTCCATCTTTGTTCACAGTTCTGTAATGAGTGGGGATTCCTTCTCTCCTTTCTCTTGTTCCCTCCCCCACAGCACGTCTTACCTGGGCTGGCACCAAGTCACAGCTGGCACAGGACTCGACTGTTTCTAACTCAGTCAGTAGTTGTTGCCCAGACTCCTTCACATCCCCTCGCTGCCTGGGCACGTTCTCCCAGGCCCCCTGGGGTGCCGTCCAGGAGCCTGCACAGCACAGGGCCTTGGGGACATGAGACGTTACCATGGCATCTCGGGCCCTGTGCCTCCACAGCCATGAACCTTTAGCTACCGCCAGATTTATGCCCACCGCACACCTCATACACCTTCATACACACATTGTTTCTTACTTCTGGTTTTCTCTCTCTACCTCCATTAGCAGGGCCGCTCCAGGAAGCCAAGGTTTGTTGATAGCGCAGCACATAATAGGTGCTCAGTTATCTGGCTAGGATTTCAGACCTGGCGCTGACACCCAGGTAGGGAGCCCACGTGTCCCCTGGAGCCCACACCACGAGGCTGGCTCACCGTGTCTGGGGGGTGCTCCAGCATCCCAGGGCGGAGCAGGTGGCTCCCTGGAGATGTGGCCTCCGCATCACCTGCCCCCAGCAAGGAGACCACCCCGTTGCAGTCCACAGTACTGTTTCTCTTGCTGTTGAGGTTGTGGCTAGGAGCAGAGGCCCCAGGACCAGGCTGTCCCTGGGCACTTGGCCGGCGCAGTGGCCAGGGTACTAGCAGAGATGTGCGGTGGCTCTCACTGTCCCCAGCCGTGCTGTTCTCATCATCTGCAAAGTCGGTCTCAGAGCCCAGGTCTCGTCGGCGAAAGGTGAAAATGCTCCCTCGACTGGAGCGTGGCTTCACTGACATCCTGCTGAGGCTGAGGTGATTCTGAGGGTACAGGGGGCAGGGGCGACATGACCAAGTAGTTTTGGGCCCAGCCCAACCTCTTGGAGCATTGAGGGCCTCTCTCCCAGTGATGCAGGAACTGAGTGGGTGGAGCAAGTGGGAGGGGGTTTCCTCCATCTTCTGGCATCTCAAGTCCATGCCTCTGGAGCTTTGACCCTCAGTTATCTTGGCCTTGAGGCCAGGCGGGGTAGGGGGAAGCACAGGCCCTTCATCACAGACAGGTCTGGCCTGAGTAGGACCTGAGTACCCAGCCAGCCCCTGGGCTCATATGTCCTTGGGCTCATGGGATGTCCTGAGCCCCAGCCTCCATTCTGTGGGCTCCCTCAGGTTGAGAGTATCATCACACCCAAACCCATCCTTCCCCTCCACTCCAAGAAAACATGAGAAATAGGTGGCCTGGGAGGGGCTCAAAGATGCCTTCACTGGAGGGCAAACTTTGGGGCTACCACCATGGGCCTGGTACTATGGGCTGTGTGTTCCAGGCCCACCCTGAGAAGGCCAAGATCACATCTGGGGGTTACCATTGCTCTGGGACCATCTTCTGAGTCAGACTTGGGAAACCGTTCATCTCCACACTCCTCTGTTCCTGAAGACATTCGTTTTCTCCTCTTGCTCCCTCTCTCATGGTTGGTTACTGGGGCCAAAGGAGACATCTCCATGGAGCTGCGGGACACAGTATCCACACCCCTGATGGTGAGGGCCTGGAAGAAGGAGAGGAAGCGATATCTCAGTCATGGAGAGATTAGGCAAGCCAGGTCATTGCCAGTGGTCCATTTTAGCCCATCAGTAAGTGACTTGCACATAACTCAAAATGAGGGCATTACGAAGACAATCTTAGAATTCTGCTTTTTTTATTTTTATTTTTATTTTTTTGGCAGAACTGGGGATTGAACTCAGGCCCTTGTGCTTGCTAGGGAAGCGCTTATTCCACTGAGCCATCTCCCCGGCCCAGAATTCTGCTTTGAGAAAGATCAAGATTGGAGGAATGGAAGAGTGGCTGAAATGGTAGCTTCTGGAAGAAAGGAGCGTGTAAGGCAGGGTGTGGATGAGCAGGGAAACAGCAGAACCAGAGGCTCAGCTGAGCAGAAGGTACTGGAGCAGGTGGCATGGAACACTGGGGAAAGCCTACAGCCTACAGTCTGGCTTCCAGTTGCAGGCTCTGAAATAGCATCCAGTGCCCACCATGTCAGGGGCTATGGGTGGCCACAGCAGCACGGTCAATGCCTCTTTTGTGAGTTGGCTCAGGTCTCCAACCTGGAAGTTTCCTTCCTACTATGCCAGAAGGGATCCCTTGAGCAAGGGAAACTACCCATGGATACACCAACGTCTCTTATCTTGCATGTACTCACAAGGACTACCTTTACTGGGAATTATCTCCTTCGCCCAGCATGTGACATTTTTACCCAGCTGGCACCTTTCTCACCTGGAAGACATATGGACCACAGGGAACAACTTTACTGTGCATATACCACACTGAAGGGCCCACCTGAGCCCACATTACCCTTACTTTTACCTACGGGGACCTCACTGACAGGCACTGTCTTTAGCCAGCAGGTTCTAGATCTTTTACCCTGAAGATGCCATATTCATATAAAATGTCTTTATCCAGAAGACAACATCCTTACCCAGCATGCACCATTCACTGGCTTTGTTCAATGTGCACCACACCTCCAGGCACCCACAGTCAGATGAAGGGTTGGCCTAAAGGCTTCTTGTCCATGCTGTTCACCTACCTCATGCTCTTTCTTGAGCATCTCCATGGCCTCCTGAAAGCGCTTCTCTTTCTCCTCAGTCTCCGCAATAGTGGCTTGGTTTTGTTCCTCATAGGCCATAGCAACCACAGCCAGGATCAGGTTTACCAGGTAGAAGGAGCCCAAGAAGATGACAAGCATGAAAAATATCATGTAGATCTTCCCTGCAGATCTCAGGGTCTGGTGGAGCAAGGGAACAGAGGTCATCTTCCCTGGGTCAGGTCACCAGTATGGCCACGCCAGAGCCAAACCCTGGCCAGAGGGGCAGGGCATGGGGTATAGCTCATAGAGAGGGCTGTGTGCCAACCAACAGAGGACAATGGCCTAGGCACAGGGCAGTGTCCCACTCGAGGGAGGCAGATGTCTCACTAGCTTGGGAGCTGTTGTGCCCACAGTGGAGCACATTCCCCACTCACAGAGCAGAGAGCTCCTATATGACACAAAAGGATGGGTACATGGTCACCAGAGAGAAGAAGTTTCTCACTGAATTCCTCTCTCTCAGACCAAGAGCCTTGGGCCCTTGTTCCTTGTAAAGCTCTCACCGGTGGGGAGCTTCCAGGGCTACTTCTGCTGAGCCTAGGCCTGGAGCCCATGCCTGGAAGCCCTCTGCTTGCCTGGGAACACACATACCTGCTGGTAGAGGCGCTCCCAGCAGTCCTGTGTCATCAGGCGGAAGAGTGCGAGGAAGGCCCAGGCAAAGGAGTCGAAGCTGGTGTAGCCGTGGTCAGGGTTATCACCTGCCTTTAGGCATCGGTAGCCCTCGGGACATGTCCTGTAGGCAGACATTCACGCTCTATCTCATGCTATAAGGAGTCCGCTGCCCTTGGGACCTCACTGGGCCTGGCTTATCTCCCCGGGAAGCCTGAGCATAGGCCCCATGGCTGAGACCTGGAGTATATGCTACGGCTACCATTCAAGACTCTATCTTCTTCCTTTCTCTCCCTACTTATAGCCTACAAGGCTTGTATCCAAAACATACCTGGCCACTGCCTGAGTTGTTTCACCCCACAGACAGGAAGTCCACAGAGCTGGCCCATGCTCCTTCCTCTGCCTGTGTACCTCATAGGGAGCTGCGGGGCCATGGGTGGAGGGGGTGATCCTGCCAGTGAAGGCTGGGCTTAGCGGTGTCTGGAGAGTGGGCCTGTCTGCATCTCCACATGGAGCCCTGTGTTGGTGGGGCAGAGCTGTCACTTGTGGAGCTGGAGGTATGTGCGAGGGGGCGCCTGACAAGTGGGAGGATGTGGTTGAGGGGCTTCTGTGTCTTGCTAATGCCCTAAGACCTTTCAGCCAGTCTCTTTAGCAATGAGCTCTGGAACTTTGTACCCCGATGTTCAAAGAGAGCTCCACAGCATCCCCGCCCACGGGTGAGCCCAAGTCCCTCTGCTGAATAGCACACTCACCCTGCACAGAGCCCTGGAAACTATACACAGAGACCAGGCAGTTCAAGGACCACTGTTAGGCTGCAGGTCCTTCCTGCTTGGCCTGAGAAGAGTCTGGAGGCTGATGGAGGGGGCAAAGGTTCACATGGAAGGGTGTGGCCCTGGGGAGATGCCACTACAGAATAGAGTGGTGCCAATGGGGGCCCATAGGGCACCCTGCCTGAGGCCAAGTTCCAACCTGTCTTCAGGGCTCTGCGGGCGCTCCCTGCTGATCCTTCTCTGACTGCCCCCCTAATCCCCCCCTTTTTTTAACCACTATGTCTGCTGTGGAGTAGGGGAGCTGCCAAGGTGCTGGCAGGAAGAAAGATAGGGGGACTCGGTGTCCCTAGGGCTGGGCCATAAAGAGAAAGTACAGTCATCTGGGAAAGCAGCTGGGATGGCTGGCAGCAGTGTCCCAGGTGGTGCATGCCACCTACCCAGCATCCGAGCTGTTCCCGCACAGCAGCACATCGGAGGTGCCATTCTTGAGCAGGTAATTAGCTGTAAGAGAAACAGTGATCCTTCAGGGAAGGGAATGTGGCCCTGCTTCCTAGGGTTCCCAGCCCACAAACAGGGCCTTGGTGAGGATTGTAGGTGGTTGCTTCTTTTCCTAGCCAACTGCTCTGACCCCCACCTGCTGTTGAGGTAGGCCTCTGCCACTCTGGCGGCTTCCCTGGGCTCCCTTCTACGCCTCCACAGCCATTCTGCTGCTGGCGTCCCTCATGCTCTCAGAACACACAAGAAGCCCTGGACAGGGGCCTCACCTGTCCCTACAGGGAGCTTCCACACCCTGCCCTGAGCCACATGGGACCAGGCAAGGCCAAGAGGAAAGCCCAGCCAGGCAGCAAGGGTCTGGACAGCGTTCTAGCTTGGCTGCTGAGTCACTGCATGGCCTTGGAGGTCTTACTGCCCAGCTCTAGATTCACTCTTATTACATAAAATGGTACAGGAGATGCCTGTCACAATTACCATGGCAACACTGCTCTGTTTATACAGGGCTAGGGCTGGGCCAGGTGAGATGTGGGATACCTGCTCTGTCCTTTCCTCTCTGGGGCCACTGCCAGTCGCCATCCTTAACCATCACCTCCCTTTGTCTTAGCAGCAAGTCTCAGACCATGGCCCCTCAACCAACTGCTTCCTGAGTGCCAGCCAGACCTGCAGATGTAGGAACTGGGCCTGACCCTGGCAGTCTGTCTCTGGGGCCCTCTAAGTAGCTCTGGAGTTCAGTGAAGTTGTACAGCCACTGCTATGAGGCCACAGCGGAATCACAAGCATGCTCTCTCACTGATCTTCTGTCTGCTCCTGTTGTGCTGAGCAGTGTGCCAGTGTCCACAGTGTGCTGACCTCAGAACGGCCCTAGTGCCTCATGGCCTGGTGGCTAGCCTTGCCCCTCTGTCTGCCTTCCATCTAGGAGGATGATGCTACCCAAGAGAGGTGGTGGGCACTAGCCTGAAGAATGCAGGTGTGAGCCTCTCAGTGAGGTGCAGGGCTCACATGCTGCATAGCCAGAGTGGGTCCAACCTCTCCCCCATGGTTCTGGGGCACACATGCATGGAATGAGCATCTTGGAAAGAACACTGATGCCAACCAGGAAACCACCAGGCCAAAAGGGGGGACACTGTTCTGCAGCCTCCCCAGGGACCCCAGCGCTGCATCATGCCCTTTCACTGTGTGATGCTCCCCTGCAGGTGGCCTGATTTCTTCCCTGGACCAGCACTCTTGGCCTACCTGTGAACACTGCCCCAGCCATCTAACCTCATTCTTCCTGTCCTTCACACATGGCATCTCTACCTGGCCCAGTCCTCTAGCTGACTCTCAGATGCCTGACACACAGCTGTAGCCTAAACAGGGGCAGCCCCAGAGGTCTGGAGGACAATGTCCAGCCCCAATGGTCTTATAGCTACAGAGTGGGTCTGCACCTGAATCATTGAGGTAGTGGTCCAATGACTTCCAGACCAGGCCTTCGGCCTCCACAGAGCCATTGGTGTCACTGAGCATCGTGAAGTTGCGCACACACTTGTGCCTCAGGTTGCCCATGAAGAGCTGCAGGCCAATAAGCGCAAAGACACTGAGGCAGAAGACGGTGAGAACCATCACGTCAGCCAGCTTCTTCACAGACTGGATCAAGGCCCCCACGATGGTCTTCAGGCCTGGCAAAGGCAAGAGGGGGCATGAGGTCACCCACAGTCTCCTGGGGGCATGCTCTCATGGGTCACCTAAAGTCACCACCAGGTCTCCCTGAGGTCCTGTGCTGAGCTGGGTGGGGCCTGCAAGGGCAACCATGAGATGGGACCACAGTGATGGAGGCTTCTTTGGCCTTCTCGGCCTCTTTCCTCAGGTTGTCCTGATGCCTAGGCCAGCCTGGCTTGGCATTTCTGAAAGCTCTGGTCCTCTTTACTTGCCACCAGCCAAATGCAGAAATGGTACAGAGAGTGCTGTTTTATTGAGGAAACACACTCAAAGCTGGCCCCATCTGGCTGGTGCCAGCTTTTCAACGTAGCCCATGGGAAAGGAGACCGAGGCTCAGGTCTACTCCAGGTTAGTGCAGGGGCTTCAGTCTTGATCCTGCCATGGCAGAGACCAGATCTTCCTGGCAGCAGGATCTCCTGACTCAGTGGTCGGGGAAGCTCTCTTTGGTGGCATGAGAATTTTGAGTATTTGGAGGAAACTAAGGGACCCAGGGTCTGGGGTTGGGCTCAGGCTGTGTGCTGAGGACCTGAGGGAGAGTGTGGTAGGGCTGTGGTGGGCGATGTCTTAAGGGGTTGTTCTAGCTTAGGCCCTGGGCAGGGAAGGGGTGCACCTGTACATCATTTGTTTTCTCTCTCAGGGACCCTCCCACCCTTCCCCTCTCCAAAGCTGTGAACGGTTAGTTGCATGACCCAGCTCCCAGCGGAAGCCAGCACCCCACAGCAGGGTGACAGAAAAGCACACGTGGACACATCCAGTACGACTCTTAGCTGCTGTCCTAGGACAAATGCGAGCAGAGCACCCAAGCAGCAGGAGTGAGGGGCTCCTCTGCCAGAAGCAGGGCTTCACCCATCCCCCAAGCATCTAGATCTCAGATTAAGCTCTGTCCATCCATTGTCCAGCCAGCTAATATGTTAGGAGCACCTGTGGCTACTGTGATGGCAGTGCAGAAACTGGGAGGCAGCGATGGGCAGATTCAGGACAGGGAGAGGATGGGCTCCTCACTGCGTCACAACCGCTGCTGCTGCCCAGGGCTCAGACACTCAGCACCTGGTGGAAATCATCCTGGCAGATGTTGGCGACTGCTGGGGCTGTGGGTAGGCCTTCCAGGTGTCTGGGCATAGAGGGGGTGGTTGCTGCTGGTGTGATGTGCTGTAGTGGAGAAGCTCTGGGACCTCTGGGGCACGCCTCAGGGATGCTGCCCATCCTGTGTCTTGTGGAGAACAGAATGTGCCTTTTTGTAACTTCTGTGGTCAGTGTGTCTATCTCTTGGGGTGGGGGGTGTGCTTGCGAGGCTGTCCTTTGGACCCTGGAGGATACACTGTGAGGCTTCTCAACAAGGCCAAGTGACACCTGTTGAAGGGCAGTGGCTTCAAGGGAGTGGCTGAAGTCTGATTGTACTCTGGCCCTCTTCACAGGGGTCTGGGTCACTCAGGAGGAGCTGAGGGGAAGTGGCCTCATGGGTGCACAGGCCAGGAGGAGCACCCTGATGGGCTCCAACTAAAAAATAACTAATCCCCCTGCGCTCCCCCCCAAAAATAAAAAATAAGTAACCCAGTCAAAGATTCCTGACTCCCCAAGAGTGGTGACGGTAAGCACAGGGCATGGTCCTGGGAACCACTAGCTTCCGAAAGCAGGAGCAGATCGATCACTGGGTTTAGCGAGCCCTTCCCCTGGCCCTGACACCTCCCTGAAATCTGTCTCTAGCTGACTTAACCTCCCCAGTTCCAAGTGTGACTCATTTCGAGAAGAAGCTGGTGGGCACTGTCCCTCCAGAGCAAGTTCCTCAGAATAGGGGACCTCAGGCTTTGGATCACTTCAGTCTGCGGAGACTGGCTGGCGCTATGTGGTAAATGTGCTGGGTGGCTCTTGACTTGAGACCCAGTACATCACACAACAGGGCTCTGAGGTCTTTGTGAATCTTTTGAGAGCTTTCCTGGATGGATGAGTGGAGCACAGCCACACGGGCTCAGAAGATTGCACAGGGATAGCTGCCAACATCTGTCAAGGAGGATTTCTTCCTGAGGCTACCATGCATGGGTCGCTAAACCTCTACCGCACCATGCAGCGAGGGCTGTTAGACACCAAGGCCCAATGATGCCTGTCCACAGAGTACGCTCCATTCTGCAGAAGGGGGCTGAGGTTCTGCAGTACCCAGTTCACCTGAGGGGCACAAGGCTGGCATGGGGCACTTAGTCAGAAAATAACTGTGCTGGAGTTTCCTTTTTGGATCTCAGTGTCTGTGGGTTCCCTCAAATTTGGTCTTTTTTTGTTTCCTGACTAAAGGATGTCACTCAGGCTAAAGCAGCACACGTCCAAACTTTTAACTATGCAAGCAGCTGTGTCTAGCTGCAAAAGAAATTCACTATTTTGGGAAGAATTTGGGTTCAACGCAAGCCTTTTTATGGGTGCTCTGTGCCCACTAGTGTCTGAGAGCAGGCCTGGCTGGGTGGGCAGCCTGAAGCCCATTCTGAGGCTCTGGGGGCAGAAGCACCTACCACCTCGAGCTCTGGGAAAGGTATTCTGATGACAGGCACATTCAGAGGGCTTCCTGGGGGTAGCCTTGGCTCCCAGGTGGCTGGAAAGGCCCAGGCATGGCCCTCCAGCCTTGGCGTTTAACCTGATTTTCACCTGAAATGACTGATATAGTTTTCAGGGCCCGGAGGACTCGGAAGGTGCGTAAGGCTGAGACATTGCCCAGGTCCACAAATTCAGTTGTATATCTGTAACAAGGGAAATTTACACACAAGACAGTGACAAGACGCCAATAGGAGACACAAGGTCAGGAGAGGGGGAGACAGAGAGAGAGTCACTTGTAGCTGAGATCTGAGAAGCAAACCTGGACATCTTACCTGGGATAACTGAAATAGTTTTTAGAGCTCTCAGGACTCTGAAAGTTCGAAGAGCCGACAAATTGCCTAGTTTTATATTTTCTGATACATACCTGCAGAATCAAACCACAGTTATTGGGAATTACAAAGTAGAACCTCAGTCTGCCCTCCCCAGCCAACCCTCTCCCTTCTCCCTGACCACAGTGGGCTGTGGAACACTTAGACCCTTCCGGGGGCTTTCTTCCTGACTGAGCTTCTGCTGACCTAGGATCTCAGCATGGCTGCCTTGAGTACACTCACACCGCAAATCTCCAAATGCCTCTCTCTGTTATCATCCCATGAACAACCAGCACTAGGAGACAACTACTCTGCTGCCTTCTCTAGGTCTGTGAGACACAAAGCCATGCAACAAGGTCTGTAGCTTGGGACAAATCAGAGTGAACATGGGAACTCTTTTCCAGGAGGTGGAGTTGGAAGCGAGCTGTTTTCTCACGCTAGCTTGCCTCTGCCTCTTCTGTGGTCTTTTCCTAGTGAGGTCATGTGGGCTCAGAAGATTGCCGAGGTACAGCTGCCAACATCTGCTATGGAGGACTTCTTCCTGAGGCTACTAGGGGAACCTGAAACCCCAGCTGAGCCCACCATAGTAACCCATTTGTTCCTCCCAACCACAAATCTCTTCATAGAGGAGGGTCAGGCGACCCTGAAGTCACAGACTGGAGGTGGCATGAGTAGTCAATGGAAAAAACACAGTCCCCAAAATACAAGCATTTAAAAATAAAAGGGGGGCGGTGACCCTCACACCTGTTCCTCAACTGCTCATAGGCAATGCCAACCTGAGAGAAAGAAGCAGAGTAAGAGTCCTCTTGCTGACAAGCCCAGACTTATCTGTGGGTCCTGGTGTCCTTTAGGGACACAGTGACTTCAAGAGAGAACAGCTCTTCTTGGGGTCTGTCCCACACAGGTCTGAGGGATGCTTGTCAGGGGTGAGTGGCTGTGAGGCTCCCATCTAGAACCTGGGTGCTTGTCCATCTCTGGCCTTCACAGGCACAGGAGGCACTGGTCTCTGTTGGTCAGGGACCCAGCCATATAGAATGTAAGGTCACACAGTAGACAGGCCACATGACCACAAGGAAGCGTGAGAGGTGGACAGATAGTGTGTGACTGAGGCCACTGGGGCAGTGGCTAATGACCTGTGATATTTAACTAAAGACTTCACATCCAAGGTGTCTGACATTTAGCTGAAGATATTCAATGTTAACAAAGGATGACAAACGCAGGATGTCTGGTGTTGAACCAAGGGTGTCTGACCCAGGTGTCTGAGTGATGTCAGGCTACAAAGCCTGCCCTGCAGAGCCAGGCAAGTATCAAGAGGGGGAAGAGAGGGCAGCCACACTCGCTCTGCCAAGTGCCTAGACCTCTAGTCCCCTCTGCTCTGCTCAGAGCTTCTGAATTTCTCTTTGGGCTGTCAAAGGGATTCAGTGTTCCAGGGTCAGCAGGTCCAGCCTGGCCCAGATCTGACACCAGTGTTCTCCTCCACCTATGAGCCCATCTGTCCCAGGGTAATGTGTGAGCCTGTTCTCTTCCTTACTCACACAGCCCTGCAGAGATGGGCAGGAGGCAGATGTCTCCCAGCTACACCGCTACACCAGACTCTTTCTCTTCTGTGGTTTCTAATCTACTCCTTGGACTCACTTCAGCTTGCAAAATCTTGACCAGCAGAAGTCATTTATTTCCCTTGTTCTGGCCCATATGTTTCTGTTAATTTGATACAAGCTCCTTCTCAACTTTTGATAGCAATTCCATTTGCCTGGTAGTTTAAAGCCACAGGCCTTGGCCCCACATTTCCATCCAGACAGGGGGCTGCCACGGGACTATGTGGATGAGCTGGAATGCTGCCATGTTGGAAGGAAGCCATAGCAGCTACAGTTCTAGCCCATTTTAGGCACTGGGTCGTTTCCTGGCTGCTGGTCTAGGTGTGGCCTGGGATAACACCTGCCCTCAGGACACTGGATTCAAGGTTGTCCCTGCAATCAGAAAGTAGCACCCTGCTGGTCAGAGAAGAAACCAACTACCTACACTTCTCTCCTCCTGCCCCTAACATACCTGGTCTGTTCCCTGTGTCTCCAGTGAAGACTGCCTATCCTTTCCTGCCCCACCTTCAGGGTCCTCTTCCTCAGTAGGTCATGTGGGCACAGAGAAGCCAGGATATTCAGCTGACAAGGGTGAACTAGTGACCAAGTAGGGAGGATTCATCTGCAATCCTAGCAGGCCTGGAGCCCGAACAAGTAACTAGGAACAGAGCAAGTGCAGGTGCTTATGCTTGTATGGAGAGCAATTATGGCTTGTAGGAAGTTTTCAAAGGAGGAACTAGGGCTGGGTCTGGGACAGGTGGGGTCGCTGCTTGTGTCACTCGGCCCAGGACTTGGCATCTGGCTGTGCCTCTGGTTGAGACCCTTGCCCCACTCTGGAGCCACTCTTGGGAACTCTGAATGTGAGGGGACAGAAGCAATGCTCTGTATAACACAGGGCCAGCCTCAGGCTGCAAAATGCTCCTCCAAGCCAGCCCACTGTTTTGCTATGAACAAGCAGCTGGCCAGAGGCAGGTAGCTGGAATGGGACCACTGGCCCTGTCAGAGGGTAGTGGGTAAGAAGCACACCAGGTCACACTGGCCCAGCATGGGGCGGGGAAGCCTTTCTGGAGACCAAAGAAGCATGCAGAAGGAAGGATGCTGGCCTTCTTCCTCCTTTACCCTCATTTTTAATGGTGAAGCCCACATTGTTAGCTGTGGTGGTGACTGCCACCCCTCCTCTCAGCCCTCCCTACTTCCCCTCCAGGCTTGGTTTCCATAACAACCCCAGAAGGTGGGAGGCTGTGCTAACTAGCAGGTAATGCCCAGATTGGGGTGGGGGAGCTCAGGAAGAGGTCCAGCTCAAGGGCTGCAAACTGAGCTTGGCAGGCACCAGGGAACTCCTGCCACAATCTTCAAATTGGTAGGGTGGGGCATCAGGCCAAAACCTAGTCAGGAACATCAGATTTGGGATATCTCTCCCATCCAGACCATGGCTACAAATTAAGTCCCCTGGTTTTAGCCCCAGGATTGCTGCTGATGCATTTTACAATGTTGGGCATGTGGCTGTGACTCTTTGAGCCTCAGTCTCTCCATCTGTACAATGGAGGGTAGGTGGGGAATTTCACTGAGTTGAATTTTTCTGCTATCCAAGACCCTTCTGATCATCCTAGAAGCCCCATATTATTGAGCCATTTCATCTAAAGTGAAAGACATTTTGGAGGCAGTAATTAACTGGCTTTCATAAGGCAGAATCACTGCCAGTTAGAGCTGCAGGGTTGGTCCACCAAGCACATAAAAGCTGACATTCCAGCGGGTTCGTGCAGCCCTACGGAAAATGATTGTGCTATTTCTGTGAGATACTTGGAAACGTGATGATTATCTGAGCCACCGAGGTCCTGTTCTGCTTTGTCACGCCTGGTTCTGACATAGAGAAGAAGCAAATAGAATTGGTGAGGAAGGCACACCTGCCTTGTGCTTCCGAGCAGAAGTGGTTCCCTGTGGGATCCCACTGGGAATGAAACCGGGATTCTCCCAGGAGACAGGCAGGGCTGGAGGACTTGCTAAGGACTGAGATCACACAGAGCATCTCCTTTAGGCCGGGCTGAGCTCAGTCACAGTTTGGCTTATGAAAATTTCTTGTTCTTGCTGCAGCACCAGGATGGGGAGGTAGGAAAGGCTCAGGCAGGTGCTTTCCCCTCTCCTGCCCAAACCCGCCTTGGTTCTGTGCCGTCTAGCCCTCAGGACCCTGTGCTTCACTTTGGGCCCCCAGGTCAGGGACACTCCTTAGCTGAAGCTCAGCCTGGCAACTGTACTCCACTCCCAAGTCAGTGCAATTTCCAGCCCAACACTTCCCCCTTAAACTTCAGACATGCCTCCCCACTCTGTCTTACTGATGATCTTGCTTTTTATTTTACAGAGAAAATAGGAGCAATCAGAAGAGAAATTCTTCTCTCATCATCAACCCTACCACTCTACCTCCATCTCCACCGGAAATTCTGTCCTCCCTGTGCCGAAGGTCGGCTCACCTCCTTGGCACTGGGTTTCCAGGCCTTTAGAAGGCTGGAGCTTATTCCTGCTCCCCTCCCCCATTCCTGCTTGTCTACATCTTCAGAGTCCCCTCTCCACCGCACTCTGCACCAGCCTCCTTGTATGCCTCCCCTTAATCCATATTTGTTTCTGGCTACGGTGCCATTTTCAGTCCTGTTTTGCAGCAACCCCATAAAAATAGATGTGTACACTTTTATACCCCCTGCCAACCTTCTCTTGTCAAAGTAATAATGACCTTCTCCAATCCAACAGTCCATCATTAGTCTTTACCTTTCTTAACCTCTTCCTGGTGTGTTGCAAGTAAAATCACTCCTCGACTGGTTTTTCAGATACTAGCTTCCCCTACTGCCCATCACTGGCCAGTTCTCACCAGTCTCCTTTGTTCAGTCCTCCTCCTCTTTCCTGCCTTGAGATGCTGGGGTGTCCCTGGCCACATGTACTCCTATGTGATCTCACCTGGTCTCCTGGTTCTAGATACGATCTGTGCTCTCATGCCTTCTGGTTGAACCTCTACCTTGGACTTCTTCCTTCAAGACTGGGATATCGAGCTGTCCTCTCAGTAGCTCACCCTGGACCCTTCCAAGCCCAACACTTTCCAAAGCAGACCTCTGACTCCCTTCAGCCCACAGCCAGTGCCACTCTACAGTTGCCCATTTCATCAAATGCTAACCAGCAGCCCTACCTACAAAATACATCTAGCTGGACCAGGATGCTCCTTTTCCACTTGGACCCTGGTTCTAGCTGCTGTCCTTTCTCCTAGTTACCAAAATAGCCTGCCTGCTGCTGTCTGTGCCAGCACCTGCCCTCCTCTCAGCAGTGCGGAGGCCTCTACAGTTCTGCCTGCCAGCTTCCCCCATGGCTCCCATCACACCAGGTTCTTACCATAACCTACGGCAAGAACATGATCTGTCTCTCATCTCACCACTTTGCGACTTTACCTGCCAACCTTCTTTCCATGCTCTCTGAGCTTCACCCAGCGCTACCTACAGTCTACACTGGCTTTTGGGAAAGCACTCTTGTGTTCTTGATCCTCATTTTTCCCACCTGTAAAGTAGAGGGCTGGAGTAAGCCACAAACAGCACATGTAGAAAGAGGTTCTGATGCATTTTCTAACCACCCGGCTCTCCACCTGGTCTGATGGCACCTCACTGGCAGAGTCCAGCTTCCCTGATTTAGCTTCTCTCCCCACAGTGTGGCTGAACTCTGGACTGCTCACATCTGGGGTTTAATAAAGACTGCAGTGAACAAGTGGATGTGTTGATTTCAAGACCCTTAGAAAGTGGGAGCTAAGCTGAGTCCCTCCTCAGAACTAGTGCATGACAGGCCCACCCTGTTCACTGGAGCCCAGCATCTGATCTCTGACACATGGGGCTGTGCACCTCTTCAACACAGCCCCTCTGCAACAGGGCTCTTGGTCAGGGAGCGATGCCTCAGCTGGGCCGATGCACACCTGTTCATTCACTTTCCGATGGTTTCCTTGCACACCCCTGGCATCAGATTTTTGGCAGTAAAATGGGGCCAAGTACCCACTTCCCACCAGCCCCTCACTGATGGGAAGATTCACTGGATTGGGTGGAGGACAGGCGCCTTACAATGTGCCAAATACAGGGCCTCTGGAGGCGGAGAGCAGATGCTCTAGTCTACCCGGCTCAAGCTTCTGGGGGTGCCTGAACACTTCCAGGCTCCTTTACTGCAATTTCTTTCCCAATCACCTTGGAATCCAGGTCACTGCCCCCCTGTAGGCCAGGTATTGGGGGCTGTAATATTCATTTCTCTTGGCAGGAAGCTCACAAGATGCTAAAGCAGAATCTTAATGATGTCCCTTGAGCACAGGGCTTCCATGGGCCCAGATGAACCAGGGGGCCTGATCACTGGTGGCCATGTGAGCTACATGCACCTGCCTCTCCCCATCAGGGCCTCCCTTTGGTCTTCCTTTGGCCACAGCAGCAGGGTGGGTGCTCCGCAGCCTGGATGCAGAGGTGACTACAGCAGGGAAGCCAAGGCTGAGACTGGGGAGCAAGCCCCCCAGTGTGGCCTGGCATGGCACAGCCATGTAGAACACGATGCAGTGAGCAACACACTTACGCCATGACGATCACACTGAAGTCCAACCAGTTCCATGGGTCCCGGAGGAAGGTGAATGCGTGCAGGCAGAAGCCTCGAGCCAGAATCTTGACCAGAGACTCAAAGGTGTAAATGGCAGTGAAGGTGTACCTGGGGAGGAGAGGTCGGTGGGGTTGGCATGGAGCTTACCTGGCTCCTCACATGTGCGAGGCCCCTGCAGCTCCCACACCAAAGGGCTATCACACCAGCTCTCTGCAGTGGCCCACAGCAGAGCTGGAGTCGGGGGCTATAGCTCTCTCCCAAATACGTGGCTCCATGGTCTAGTCTCCCATTTGTTAAACTGTGAGCCTGCCATGTGTCCAGTGACCTCTCCATTTCTCTTGCTTGGGTAGGTGAGAAGACTCCTACCTATCTCTTCCCCCAGCCCTGGGGTCCATGTGCCTGTGCATGGGCCACTGGTTCTGAGTCACTGAGTCCCATAGAAAGAGAGTCCCTGCTCCTTCCCCAGGCATCGGGCACTCCAGGCAGGCATGGAGGCTAGGGTTCCCTTACCTGCCTACAGGGTAGGTAGTTCAGCTGCCCAGCCTGCAGGGTGGTGGTTCTAATGCATGAGGCTGGCTGGGGGCTGTCCTGCTGGGAGCAGCCCAAGGAATCAAAAATATTGGATACTGGGTCTGCCTAACAGGGCTGGCAGTTGATAGGACCACATCCCAGTCTTGAAAGCGCCAGACAGTCGCGTATACACACCACCAGTGTTATTTGAATGTGCAGGGCAAGCTGGAAAGTTACTTCTATACAATAGGCTGCTGGACATTCTGTTGTCTCTCCAGGAGCCCAGGCCAGCAAGGGCCTCTCAAGTCTGCTTAGACCCTGCAGGAGAGGCACTTTAATCATTTTCTAAAACTGTGCAAATGCTTATGGGCAGCAGGACTTGGGGGGGGGGGAAGGCAGCAGAATGCAGTAGTGACATGGGGACAACCCTGGGCTTCTCCTATGCTCATAGCATCTACCTAAAGGACAGCACACCAGGGCTGCTCCAGTTCTCAGTGTGCTCATCTGTCCAGTAGGGACAGTGCAGGTGCCGACTCTGTTGGGTTGCCAGAGGGCTAAATGAGGCTGTGCTTATTGTTCTATGACAGTGTCTGGCATGCACCAAGTGCTCAATAAATTACCATTATTATTTCAGAGCCTTTTCCAGTGCTATGGTGACAACCAGGAGAAAGTCCCTACTGTGCCTGCCAATCAGGTCTTCCATTGAGGGCACAACTTAAAGCTAGTACTTGGCATGACTAAGAAAGGTAAACGAGGGCAAAGGCAAGACCACAGCCTTCTGGGTGGCTTTAGGGGTTGCGGTGTGGGATGGAAAACAGAGTGAGGGGCCCCAAAGATACTTACTCAACATATTTGGTCCAGGGCGGAGGGTCATGCTGGGCCATGAACACACAGTTGGTCAGGATGGTGCACATGATGAGCATGCTGAAGAGCGTGGTGCAGGGTCAAGGAAGACATGCACGGGACCAGCCAGGCTACCACCACAGGGTCCTGGGCCTGGGGACAATACTGCCAGGCCAGAGCTTCCAAGTCAGTAAGAGGGGCTTCAAGCAGGAACACCGTCAAGAGCTCCCTCAGTGAGAAGCCCCTGGCTTCCAGAAGGCCACGTAACTCTTTGGCTATGTTGGCATCAGCACCCCCACGGCATCCAGTACTGCTGCTCACTGAATGCCCAAGACCACCTGTCTCTGTCAGAAGGGGTGTTCTTTAAAAGCCAGACTGTATCTTGGGCATCCCTGTAAGCCCTCAGCCCTGAACTGCACTAGCTCAGGCTTATCTAACCTTGAGCAAGCTGGACACAGCTCCGAATGGTCTCCTCCACCCCTCCCTCATCTCTGTGAGACCGCCAGAGGAGGGAGGGGCATGGAGAGGCCTGGCCCTGAACAGGGACATGTGTTGCCCTCACAGGTCCCCTCCCAGACTGAACAGAGAGGCTGTGCCTCCCACACCTTGTGGCTGCCCCAACTCCCAACACCATGCCCAGCCTCAGCCCCATGTGCCCAGCCTCAGTCCTCAGCTGCTCAAAGGTGATTCCCAAAGGCAGCCGAGGAGCTGCAATAATTGAACTCCAGAGGCTGCCTCCTCCTCCCCAGCACAACTCTGCTTGCCTGGTGGGGAAGCTAGTGCCGTCTGACCCAAGACTAGGCCAGGCTGTGCTTGCTTGCTCCCAGCTGCCCTGGCTGGGGAGCGGGGTTGGCCTCCCAAGGAATTTAACCAGGTGCATACCTTTCCCACCTCCAGTCCTTCTGGGAAATCTGAAAAGAAGCCTCCAAACCCAGCCTCCAGTTTATAATACATTCTCCAACCATCCTTGTGCCGCAAGAGGTGATCTGGCTTTGGGAATCCCCTAACAGGATCTGGGTTAGCCGAGAGAACCCCTCAGCCCTGGTACCCTTGGCTCTAGAAAGTCCTTGGTACAGCCTGGCCATAAGACACCTCTCCAGGTGCTGGGTTCCCTCCCTACAGGGAGCATCTGCCCCACCCTCTGCCATGGTCCAGATATTTTCCCTCTCTGGCTTTCAGGGGCTGATCAATACTAGTATTAGGACCCTTGTCCCTCATACACATAGTCCCCACACCCAGGCTGCTGCCACAGCTTTCCTCCCTGGATAGACACTTCACATCCCCTCCCCCAACAGGCTTTATTTGTCCCCAGGAGGCCACTGCTAAACTTGTCATGAGGTACCAGATGATTCCCGAGCTATGCAAGTAATGATGCTCAGAGTGTGTATTTATTGAGCCCTTCCTAGAAGCCAGGCTCTGTGTCCACTAAATAATCTGATTCACTCAATAGCCCTTTGAGATGGGGACTTTGTTTCCATTTTTAAGTGATCAGAAAGTTGAGACACAAAGAGGTCAAGTTGAAGGTCACTGGAGTAGGTAAAATAATTATTCCCCTAAAGATGACCAGTTCTGAAGCTCTGGCAACTGAACATGTCACTTTCCATGACCAGAGGGACTTCACAGATGTGACGGAAGGGAGAGCCTCAGATAAGCAGCGCATCCCGAATCCTCCAAGTGGGCCCAGTGTGTGCCTTTGTGGAAGAGTGGGCGGGTCAGCACCCTGTGATTCGAGAAGACGCAGTGGCCTCTGCTGGCTCAAGGAAATGAGGATGGTGAGCCCAGGGAGGAAAAGCCCAGCAAACAGACCTGTCCCTAGAGCCTCTGAGAAGAAGCATGGCCCTGTGGGCGCCTCGATCTGAGCCCAGTGAGCTCTACAACTCTGTGAGAATTGTGTGCTGTTCTAAATCCACAGAATTTGCGGTCACTTGTTTCAGCAGCATCAGGAATGTCATGTCTCTATACCTGAGGAAGCCCAGGCCATTTCCAAGAGCAAGCCTGGCCTGGACGTGAATGCTTGCCCAGTGTGGGAGTCAGGGAGACAGCAGGGCCTGACCCTGAAGTGCTCTATGACCAGGTGTTACGAGAAGGAAAACACTTCCTTCTCTGTCAGACCAGGCGGGAGGCATTAGATGGCACCTCAGGCTGGCCAGGGCTCCGCCAGCAGCCCCAGTGATCCCAGTGAAGCAGCAAGGACTACGGCCTTTGAAACCCCTGCTGTGGAGCAGGCTTCTACCCACCCTGGGCCGAGCATTCACAGTACTCCTTAGAGAAAAGCCGCTGTCTAGAAAGCAGCTTTGTGGACTGGCTGCCTTGGGCCAGTGGACCTGGCTGGGCAAACCGAGAAGGGCTCTGATGTCATGACCTGTGGAGGAGAAGCCCACAGCCTGGTCCAAGGGTGCAGTAAACTAGCGAGGGATCAATGAGGTGAGGCAGCCGCTCCAATTATTCTCCATTGGGAGCGTGTGTGTGTGTGTGTGTGTGTGTGTGTGTGTGTGTGTGTACACGCGCGTGCCCACATGAATGAGATTGCCTCCTACCTAGACTATGTGGTTTTGCCTAAAGCATTCCCCAGGACCCCCATTGAGCCCAGCATGTGGCCAATACCAGACAGATGAGTCAATTGAACTCCTGTCCAGGACACACCTGTTTGACGCCCTGCTAATTTCAGGCCAATGATCAAGCTGGTCCTCTATATGGAGAAAGCAAAAGGCCAGCTCTGCAGGCCTGAGCCCAGCGGGACATCTTCAGTCCTGCCGTGTCATTGTTCCAATCACCCACTGCTGCCTCATAAATTAAAATGCTAGCAAGGACTGCCTGTCCGGGCCATGGGGCATGCCTGAACCTTGGGCTGTTCAGTCTTCAGATGCCAGGGAACCCAAAAACTCTAAAGGGAAAGAAATCAACCCCGGCAGGGGGGTATTTTCATGACTTTGTGCTATTAAACGAACACGTGCATGTACATAAGCATGCTTATGTGACACACACAACGTGAGTGCCCATCTGAGTCTCACAGAGCTGTGGGAGGGCTCTGTGAGCGCACGCCCTGTGCACCCAGGAAGGCCGAATGCTTCTTGCATGAAGGCGAGGGCTCTCTGAATGTGACCGCTGTGGAATCTGGAGTTCAGCTGGTTTCTTTTATTTAATCCTGGCAGGAAAACATTCTGCGGGGTTGTATAACAGAAATGCACAAGAAAAAATAAATCTACATGCACATAAGTATGTTTGCAGCAATTTCCAGGGCTGTACTATGACCACACAGCAAAAAACCCAGCAAAATGTCCTGGGTGGTTAGCACGGACCCCTGGGTCACTACCTGGGAGCAGACTTTCTTACCAGGTGGCATTCCTATCCCACTTGTCTTTGCCCTTTTCAAAGAGCCTACTTTACATTTTGGGACTTAGCAGATGCTTGAATGAATGTAGAAGCTTACACAGAGTCAAAGTTCACAGTTCTAAACACAAGATCTGACTATTCATTTGAAATGCACTGTGACTGTTACAAGCACATGGGTCTCTTTTGGGGGGTGATGGAAAGATAGGGGAAGGGATGTATAATCTTACAAATATATTAAGTTACTGAATAGTGCAGTTGGATGTGGTATGTTGTAGGCTATGTGAAGTATATCTCCATTTGAAGAAAGGGACATGAGTAGAGAGCTTGTCATTTCTTAGCCTCACACTGGTGATTTGAATCTTGAGAGGGCAAGGAATTAGTCTTTTAAAGAAACTTTCCATGTGACACCAAGGTGGCCCTCATAGGCTGACTTTTAAAAACAACTGCCCAAGGTCAGTGTGGCTATGAGGCCCTCGCTCACGTGCAGGTTCTGAGGTGGGCTCCAAAACTCGGCCATTCCTACAAAATCCTGGAAAATGTACCTCCACATCCAATGTCAAGGCTCGAGGGCACTAGGGGCTACTCTCAAACCCCACAAATCCTGGTCCCTTCTTCCCACTAGGTGGCGCAGTCGAGGGTCAACAACTTGCTCCCATCTCTAGGCAGTGAGTGGAGCGTTGAGGCAGCTGGAAGGAGCCCAGAACAGGTCTCCTAGGTGCTGAGCACTGCCCCTGAGCAGCTGCCCCGGGGGAGGCAGCCAGTTCAGAGCCCTGAGGGCCAGTCCTGATAGATAGTACCAGCTCCTTACAAGCTCAGCGCTGTTGCTCAGCAGAACCTCAGGTCTGGTGGAGTATTCCAGCACCCCCACTGCCTCCCTAGTCTACCTGCTTCCTCGGTCTCTCACTCATCTGCCTGTAGCCTGCCTAGTGGTGGGGCAGGAGCCCTGGGATTACTGCTGCATCCCTGGGGATTTCTGTGGCAGCCAAACAGTGCTGGGTTGGTTAGATACCTGCAGGAGAAGTCCCAGATGAGATCTAGAGGATGCTTTCTGGGAGGCCCCGCCTTTGGAGTGAAGCTGGAGACAGGCTCAGGGAACACAGGAGTGCACCTCTCCTCCTCCAGCTCTCAGTCAATGGGTGTTCTTTCTTTGTGCCAGGCTGTGATCACCTTTTGGCAGGAATGACAGCTATTTGTGTAGCTGTCCTATGACACAGAGGGAATTGTGGCATTCCAAAGGGGAACAGCCTTTCACAGCAGGGGATTGAAGAGAACCTTGGGGAGCCCTGTCCAGCCAGCCCACCAGCTGGGCAGCAAGGCTCACTGCAGAGCCCACAGATGAGAGCAGAGCTGCTTGCACTTGTGCTCTTGCCCTGGTCACCCGGGGCCAAGGCCAGGCTGTGGCCACTATGGTGCTCACTGTCAAGGGTGAACCCCTCTGCAGTCTGCACCAGCTTTCCCCAGGGCTCCATCCCCAGGGCCTCTTCTCTAAAGTCTAGATGACAGAGGGGAGGGTCTGTCACCCACCTGATGTTCTGCCAGAGCTAGGGCTCCTCCAGCCCAGCAAGCTGGCACAGTCCCGTATCTCCCTACGTTGTTCCACTGGCTCGCTCCACTGGAAGCAGCTTTTTAGGCTGTGGTTTATATAATTTAATGCTAACCACAGTTCTCTGAGTTGCTCTGAAACTGCAAACATTTTGTCAACACCTAGTCCGAGAGCAAATGTTGCCTCCCTCGAAAGATGCCCACGTGAGAATAAACTGGAGGCCTCTTTATTGGGAAATGGCTTTTCTTTGGCTGAGCCTGCACGACCTGTCTGAAGGTCCTCACAAATGGTGTGTGTGGGGATGGGCGGGTGGCAGCGGCCTCGGGGTGTGCTGGGTGGGGCTGCCTTGAGCCTGGGAAGGGGAGGCTTCTGGGATGTTTTCCTCCTGGACCATCAGGAGAGGGTTCCCAAGCTGTCATGGGCCCGAGTCCTCTGGGGGCCTGTTAACCTGAAGGTGCTGATGCAGCTGGTCCAGGCCCAGGCAGGGTCAAGGCTTTCAACCAGCAGTCAGGCTGCAGCCCTTGCCCCACCAGGACAGGACAGTTGGAGCCCTTCAGGGCAGGTGTGCAGGCCAGGGAGAAACCGCAAAGGATATGAATGAACCAAAATCTTCACAGCTGCTCTGCGGACAGGGTGGAAGGGGCTGAGAACGTACAAGGCATTGGTGGCACTGAACCGGAAGATGGTCTTGCCCTTGTTCAGTACGATGAAGGTCTGTGAACAGAGACTGGGGTCAGGCCTGGGCAGCAGCTCCTCAGCCAAGTGGAGAGAAGCTTTTAGGGGACAGCTGTGGGCTCAGAGCCATAAGCATGGTGGCGGAGTGGGGAGCACTGAAGAGTGTGGGGAAGGGGCACAGTGGACCCTCACTGCTTGGCCTATGCCGAGGTCTGGTTTAGGGAATGTTATGCTGATTGAGATTTAGTTTCAAAAATACACTGCCAAGAATCAGGGGTCTTTCATGGTCCTCTCCCAGCTGTCATCACAGCAGGGACCAAGAAGCCCAGGGATTCCTCATCCGGCCCTTTCTCCCTCTGCTGACCACCCCACCCAGTGCAGCTTCCCTCCAGGACCCTCTGAAGTGAAGACATCACTGGGGGCAGCGTCAGGGCAAGGAGAGGGGTAGAGGAAAAGACAGACCATCCAGAGTTGTCACCCCACCCCCAGAGAAGACAACCCTGCACCTGCCTTTGGAGCAGGGGCAGCCCAAGGTGGACCCCCCTCTGGGCTTCTAAGAGGTCTTGTGTCCACAGCTGATTAGGACATGGGAATGAATGCTGCAGGCTGAGCCCTGGGCACTCAAAGGGGTCCAGGCCAGAAGCATCTGGAGGACAGCAGGCCTTCCCCATCCTCCCAGCGACCTGAGGGGCCAAGCTTCTATTTAATCTGGGCTGGAGAGGTAAGGTGATCAGACAGACCTAGCCAGAAGTTCTGCTGTGGTGTTTCCACCAGCCTGAGGGGCTACCGGTGGTGTGGTTAGGGATCCGCAAGTGAGACAGGAAGTTAGTGGCTGTGACCACACCTGGAGCCACACACTGTTCAAGCATCTTCACATTTAGGGAGAGAATAGATGATGACCTATGACCCCTCTAAGGTGACACCAGATCAGCCCTGACCCCAACCCTAGACAGGTCCTCTGGCTATGACTCCTGCCTGTCCCAGCCACCTCCAACCTAACTGCCACCTGTCCTCTCATCATAACACCTTGATTCAGCTGTGGCCTTCACCCCAACTTTAATTCCCTCTCCAACTTTCACCCAGGCCCACCCACCATAACTAATCCTACCTTCCCACCTATAAACTCGAACCCCACTCCCTGACCTTAGCCTCACCTGAGTCACTGGACCCAGTGGGAAGTTCATCTAGAAGCTTAGGAGCAAGCTCAGGTCCCTTACTCTTAAGAGGAGAAAACAGCAGAGTGCCCTAGCAGTTACCACCCCTCATTCACCCTCATGGTTCCCAGTGGCCCCTACGGTCCCAGGGTAGGTCCACAGAATCAGGGGGCTGCTGTAGCTCCAGTGGGTACAACCAATGCCTACCCAGATCTTGGTGCTACTGGGGTGGGGGAGTTATATGCTGTGCCTAGTTAGTGGAAGGGGTCATGTGCTGTTCCCTGGGGCCCAAGCAACTCTAATTCACACACACACACACACACACACACACACACACACACACACACACGACAGGCATCCTCCAGAGGTGACCATCCAACCATAGGTAACTCGCAAAGGTCTCCAAAAGAGGAGGCTACCCTTTTTCCTTACTAACATCAAGCTCATGCTGTATACTTCCTGTCCCTTTTTCCAGAACCCTAAAATGAAAGTGACTGGAATACAGATGACCAATGAATCATCCCCACAGCCCAGGAGGGCCTGCCCCAAACACAGTGCTCAAGGCAGCCAGACCCTCAGGAGCCGCACAGGGAGCTACACAGAAGGGTGGGAAGGGTGCTCGACAGTCACCTTTTGGGTGCTGTAGAAGGGGTCCAGGTCCTCCAGGGGCTCCCCAATGAGCTCTCGGGGTGGATTGCCATAGAGATCTGGTAGCTTTTTGGAGGCTTGCAGGTCCAGCTGGGGCCGGGGAGCCTCCTCTTCGGGTAGCCCCTCACGGCTCTCCTGTGAAGTGGCCGAGCCTCGGGCTTGTCTCTCCGCCATGCGCTTCTCAATGGCTGCCAGGGACTCCCGTGTGAACCTGCGGAAGCTGCTGGTGCCCCGAGGTAAGAGGAAGTTTGCCATCTTCTCATCCTGCTTCTGGGGCACAGGGTGTCCTCAGTGCTTGGGGGGAAGCTAGAAGACACAGAGCGCAGGTCTGACAGGAAGCCAGGGCCCAAGGATAGGACAGCCACATCTGTGAGGTGTGGCTGGGCTGATATAAGGGACAGCAGTTTTTGCAAAGGTTCTGGGGACCTTAGATCACCTATCTCTGTGCAGGCACTCCCGGTGGACACTGGTGGGGAAAACCACAGCCCTCCAGCCTGTGTGAGTCCCCCTGGCGAAGCCACCCAAATGCAGGGAGGCAGCAGTGACTGTCACTGCAGCACCTTCATCCTGCTTCATCCAACACAGAAGGAAACATGCACTGTTGACCGTCCACACTTAGCACTCCTCAAGGGCTACACCCCTGGGCTGCAGCAGGATGCCTCATAGGGCAAGGATGAAGCCTGTCATCTTTTTCTACTCTAGGTCCCTGGCATAGCTGGTCCTGAGAAAATGAAGGATGTGGTGAATGATGAGAAGCTGGGCACCAGAAGGGTCTAGGCCCTACCCTCCTTTCCAGGGCAGATCCCTGAGCAGTATCTCAGGTGTACCTTTGTGTGTGTGTGTGTGTGTGTGTGTGTGTGTGTGTGTGTGTGTGTGTGTTAGGGGGTTTGCAGATTTCACATAGAGGTGTCAGTTGCTGGGACACTTGTCTTTGCTGTAGGAGACCCAGGACAGCCCTGTGGATGTTCAGAAATAGCTGGCCAACAACTTTGGAGCTGTCATCCAGATGTGGACACCCTGATGCACACAGCTGTAGCACAGTCTCTGCTGGGGATCTCAAAGGAATCCCCAGGGTATGGTATTCTCTCAAGCTAATCTGATTCCAAAGCACCCACACACACACCTCTGGCTCCTATCACCCCTCCTCCCACCTGTGAACAAATAAATCCCAATCCCAAGGGACAGCAGAACCGGAAAACCATGACCACTACTGGCCAGAACATCCAGCCAGCATATGTGTGTGACATCAAACTGGTAGAATGTGGCCCCTGGTGGCCTCAAATGATCCAGAAAGTGGTGTGAACACAGTGCCTATGACAGCGAGGCAGAAGAATGCATTCCCAACTACCGCACCAAAACAGGATGTGGTGAGCAGGGCTCCTGATGCGACAACTGAGCTGGGAGACTGTGCTGCTAATGACCACATCAAACCCGGGAAAGGCCAGGCACTAGTTCAAGAGGGCATGGTGGACACCTGTTGGTGATCTCTGCCAGGACAGAATCTCTTCCTGTCAACCGAAGGCTTTGCCCTTATCTTATTCCTGCCAAACATGTCACCAAAGGTCCCCTGTGCTGCTATTGCACCCATCCCTGCCTAGAGCCAGCAAAAGGCCTGGACTTGGGCCCCCCTGAGCACCGGGGAGCACAGGTAGGTACCTGGTCACATGGCAGGTAAGAGTGGGCACACAGAACACAGCGCCACCTCAGAGGGTGCCTTGGGTTCCCGGAAGTGCAACACAGATGCAGGGAGGGAAGTGGAGGACAGAGGTCCCAGTGCCTGTGTTTTCAGAGCCAGCCATCCTCTACATCTTTTTCTTGTTTCATTAACTTGAGGGTAAAGGAGAGTCTCTGATCAAATTAGCAGGTGAAGGAGCAGGTTTCCACTCTACTTTATAAAAGCGCTTTCCTACCTACCTCCCTTTGAGCAAAGAGAAACATCCTAACAGGTTAAAAAATGTCAGTAGTTCTAGCTGGGGGATGATGGTGATAATTTGAAACTTTCATTGTACTTTTTTGATTGCCTGAATTTGTTATGATGAGCTTATAAAAAAATAAAGCCATTATTCTTTTAATCTCTAAAATAAAATACCCAGCCTGGATGACAGCAGCCCCTCGCAGGGCAGCCCTTCTCCACTGTGAGCGATCACTAGTTCTGTAAATTGGGAAGCCACCCCTTTAGCTCAGAATTATTTGCTAAAAATAGTGCTCCCTGTCTCACTGTATCCATCTGTGTCCATATGCCTGTAAGGGTTCTCGAGACACGTGTATGCCTGTGGATGTACAGAGGCTCACTGGGACACACCAGCAAAATGTGTGTGTGTGTGTGTGTGTGTGTGTGTGTGTGTGTGTGTGTATACAGGCTTGCACCTGTAAGTGCATCTGTTCTAGTAAAGAGGTGTTTGTAATTTGTGTTGCATTAAATGATTCATGCAGATAGGTGCACATAAATGTGTAAGTGGGTGAATTTCTAGAAACTGAACACACTTGGAAACCAGCACTTAGACAAAGACAGATTGTTTCTAATCCACCCCTCACTCTTAGGTGCTCTGCCAGACATTCCCTCCTTCTCCAAGGGTAAACTTTCTCTTGACTACTAGGTAGAAGGATGAGTTTTGTCTGTATAGTTCAGAGGCTCTAACAGGCCCCCTGGAAGGCCTGGAAAAGGATTTGGGCAGGGAATAGTATCTGTTCTTCTCCAAACTCCCACTCAAATGTAGCATTTCCTTCATCTACAAATGTAGGCAACAAAACAGAGGGGTTAACATTACTGGTGACCAAAAGGCATTGCAGCTAGTTCCCTGTCTCATAAAAGTTGCTGCTGGTATCCTGAATATTATTAATGCTTGTCACTACTTCAAAATTACAGTACTTAGACCTGCTGCTCAAAGTTATTTAAAACATTAATAAAGAAGCACATACATTACTCTACCACAAGTTGACTTTCAAGTGTTCTCAGAGCTGTACTCAATACAATTTTAACCCTGTAAGTTTTGCTTGATTCTGAGATTGCTTTACTCAACTGGAAGAGAAAGGTCAGGCCCTGGCTTGGTCTCTGCTCAGCTGCTGACTCTAGGGTCCCCTCCTCTACCCCTCACCTTCTTGTCTGTGAGGTGAGAAAAGGAGGACAAAGAGACATAGTGTCCTTCTGGGATTCTCTGGTGCTGTCACCAACTTCTCCCCATGGTGGGCTCCACCTGTTCCTGGCTGCCTGTGGCTAAGACTCCCCTGGGCTCTGTGTCACTTGTAGGCAGGGACAGAGAACACACTTGAAGGCTCTAATGGAAGGAAACCTGGCCTGGGGACCCCACCTTCCCTGCCCTTGGGCCAGACAAATTCCACCCTGAGTCCTGCCATGGCCCAGCAGGAGAGACACAGTAACCTGCAGGGACCAGGGGCCAGGGCCAGGTCTGGGTGACAGACAGGAACCAGAGACAACTGGAGGACCTGGAGGACGGATGATGGGGCCCTGGGCTCTCAAATGGGTCTTATTCCTAGGTCCTCTGCCAGCCAAGCACCCACACCCTCGGATCCCTGGCTGGGGAAGGCTATGGGCCAACCAGCGGAGCAGCTGAAACCAGATTCCAGATGAAGTTCCCTGCTCCCCAGTAGCAGCAGCCTCAGGTTCCAAAGTAAACATGCCAAGGGTGTCTTTTGTCTTTGGCCCGCTCAGGGTGGGCAGGCAGGATCCACTTTCTCCCTTGTTCTGCAGCTGCCTGCACCTGGCCCCCGCCCTGCCCTTCCTCCAGCAGCTTGGGGCCCACACCCTGGCTGTGGCCAGACCTGGCCTGGCCCAGGCTGCAGGGCTCCCAGGATGCCAAGGGGAAGGGGCTTGGGGTAGTCAAGATGCTCAGGGCAGAGGCTGAGGAAGAAGCCTCAGCTGGTGGGGAAGCCTCGCCTGCGACTGCTCAGGGCCATCCTAGAAAGGCCTGAGGAGGCCTTGTCTAACAGCTCCAGTCAGCTGGAGAGGCTGTGGCAGGTCTGATTCCAAGCCACGGGTGCTCTCTGCTCTCTCCTGTGAGGCTGGCAGCGCATGGGCTTTCCCATTTTCCAGGACAGCATCTTGCTTGGCACTTGGCCAGGCCATTCCCTGCTGGTCCATTCAGCTTGGAAAACCCACTCCTCCCACCCACCTGCACCTGCCTCTGGTTGCTGGGCTCACCTGGCCCTCTGTGCCACTGGCTCCAGGGAGTAAGTGGAGACAAACTGGCTCCACCTTTCCAAACTGCCTCCTGCTGAACCTCTTCTGGCCCCAGTTACAAGCCTCCATCCCCCATCCGGGTGACAAGCCTCTTTACCCCTACATGGGCTACAGTCCTGCTGGACTCTGCTGCTTTCTTCTTTCCTTGTCCCCACTCCATGACTTAGACCTTCTCTGACACTCCCCATGCCCAAGTGACAGGGCTGGGCATCCCCTCTCACCCACTGACTGACAGGCAGAGATACAGTGGGAGTGGGGAGGGGACTCTGTGGATTGCCTTCTCTGTGGCTTTCTTGAACCCAGGGGACACTTAATTGGTGACCAACTGATGGTGCTTACAGTGCTATGACATGGGACCCACAGCCTGGCAGCACAGACAGCAGCCACGGGCATGGTACGGAGGGGGCCTGATGGAGTATGACTAACCTGCCGTGGTTTTCATGAGACTTTGCCAGTTTTAGTATTGAAATTCCCACCTCCTGGGACGGCTGGCCACAGGGGGAGGAGGGAACTGACTCTGACGTTGTAGCTCCTTGCAGCCCCTCCCTGCCCACTCCCATCCCAGATCCTGGATCCCAAAGGCAGGCACACGCCTGTCTTGACTCATGTCTGGCATTTTGGTCGCCTTGGAGTCGGAGCCTCTGGAAACCGGCATGCAAAGAATATTCTCTGCCATGTAAATTTATGCAAAGCACTCTGTGGAAGTGGCTCCCAGCCTTCCTAGAAAATTTCTGCCGGTTTCTTTCCTCCCTCCCACCTGCTTGGCTCTGTGTTCCAGTGCCCTACCTGGAGGTCTGGTGACCTCAGGCCCCTCCTCACAGGCCACTTCTGCTCAGCCTGTGGCATTCTCCCCTGCCTGCCCCTGGGGAGAGGATGTGGGTGCCACCGAGGCAGGGGCTTGCTCCCCAGAGGTGGAGAGCAGGGCATAAGTGGCTCCTAGGCACACCTTGGTCACACTGCCTGTAAGCACAGGGTTCCTGCTCTGCTCAGCATGACAGGACACACAAAGAAGGGTGTCCCAGAGTGCAGACTGACCACAGCGGGGACAGAGGTCAGGATTAGCAGAAATCTGACAAGCCCCACATACCAATGCGAGAACTGCGGACCT